GAGATTTTTTTTTTTTTTTTAGGGCTGGGAAGGAGCTCCTGGTGCCATGCACTGCTCTGCAGCTGCAGTGAGGACTGAGAAGCGAAAGTCCCAGCCCTGCGCGCTGAAACATGGGGCTTATCCTAGGGATTGAACAACTGGTCTCCTTCCAGAGGGCAGTGATGTGTTTGGATGTGCCAGCTCCCACACACGCACCCTCTCCATCGGTCGATACGGGAAGAGCTCAGCCAGCAGAGGGCAATGGCATAGATGCACGCATATGCTCATACGCGCGTGCAAAACATACCCCAAAGCTTCTGGGGGCACTCTCTCGTATTCATGCAGCAAAAGGCCAGGACTGTGTACATGCACACCTGCGCACACATGCACGCACGCACACACACTGCTCGTGGGCTGTTCAGTGGGTACCAACTGGCTGCCTGAGTTCGTGTTGCCAATATTCATATTTTTTAACTAAGAAGGCCTTCCCTCCTCCCTTCCCAAGAGGAAATAAGCTGTTCAAGTGTGAAATGAAGCCTTGCTTGATAAAGAAAGGTATCAGACAGGCTGGTGCAATTCTGCTTGTGGAGCAAAGATCTGGAAGGGGGGATGAAAGCTAATCCCTCCTTGCCTGCAAGAATGAACCCTGCTGAAGCAAGCACAGGACTTTTTCCTAAGCAGGCAAGTCTTCAAAGACCTTGTTGGTATCAGGATCCTACCAGGCACAAACAATTGGCTCTTTGAGGGGGGCCCTAGCCCACTGCCTGTGCATGGGGAATGCAAAAGGCAGGGAGAAACCTTTCTTGCTTGCTTTCCAGTTCTGCCTGGCTGTGTTTCAGGGAACGGGATAGTGATAATAACATCTTAATAGCTTCTGGAAAGCAAGTCGGGATTTGACAATGCGAAGCTTAAATGGCAGTAAGCAAACATCAAGCAGGCATCCGCTGTTCAGAGGGTTTCTAGAGGGGTGCTCAGTCAGTCCTGCAGCCTGGCCCTGACCACGTCGGTTTTATCTGGGTCTTAATTCTGAAATTCATGTCTGTTGGGAGAACACAAAGTTGCCAGCTGACATGGGGAGCTGCGGGCGTTATGTGATGGGGGAGGACAGCAGCCTCGCTCAGCCCCTGCTTTCTGCCCCTCAGGAGGACCATGCCAGCAAGAGAAGGGCAGACTCTCATCCAGTCTTTCTGGGTCCAGAGCCTTTGGTCTAAAGAGAAGGAGACTCATGATGGTGTTTGGATGCTCCCTCGTATCATGTCTACTCTCTAACTTGAGTGTCCTCTAGCAAAGAAACACAGGGATGCTTCTGCTTCCTCTCTAACAACAGGCATCTGATTTCAAAAAGCATAAGAAACCTTATGTGGATGTCTGACAGAAATAAAGTATAAGCCCTTCTAGCCACTGCCCCACAATTGTCCTGGTCCCCTGAATGAGGGAATTGCCTAGTCTAATACTAATAAACCATTTCCTAGCTGTTCTTGCCAGTACCACCAGGCATTGCCCATGCAGAGTGCCCAGGGGCTCTGGTTTGGCAGAAGTCCTGGGAAGAAGCTGTTCAGTGGGGTCCCTCTTCAGTCAGGTCTAAGCCAACAGAAATCCCACTTCCCCCAGGATTGACCCAAGTAGTCCTTTATTGACTTGCCAAATCCTTCTTTGAACCTGGTTCTTTCTTAAAAAGGGCTCTACCCTAGGGACACCATCAGATCGTGACATTGCACCAATATTTGTCTTCAGACCTTGTTCCCTCTGAGGGAACAGACCCATCCTTCCTGAGATGTTTGCCCCCTTCCCCCAACTCTTCTTTCTGAAGCACAGCTGATGCTGCAAGCAGCTTCCTTGCTCCCAAACAACTCTACAAGAGCTGGTTTGCCCTCAGAGGCAGCCTGCACAGTTGCTGTGCCAAACCAGATCAAACCCCAGTCCTCAGCTCTGCTCTTCAGGAGCCACACAGCGATCAAGAAACTGGTGCTGCAGAAAGGCATCTGAAGGGAGCAATATCCCCTGGGTTATTTACAATTTTGGATGAAGAACTGTTTGAGAAACCAAGAGGCAGCAGCATAAGATCCACCTCTTTTCACATACAAATGAGCCTCACAGAGCCTAAATTATCTCTCTCATCTCTGCCGCAGGGCTGGGTCTCCACATCTGGCTTGGAGCACACCCGGATGACAAGGAGCTATTCTGAAAGACTACCGGCCTTTGGAGACCTCTGATGCTTAACCTTGGGAGGTCAAAAGCTCTTATCTCAGATTTCTGAAGAGAGAAGATCTCTTCTCGTGATGTCGAAAGGCATTGGGCTTGTGGAGGGAGGGCAGGATAGCAAGGTGGGGACCTAAGAGGAGGAGTGATCCCTGTTCATCTGTGCTAAAGGAAGAGCAAGCTCCTGCTTCTGGGGCAGGTGGAAATGCTGACTTGTGATCAGGGAGGGCAACACATGATGTGGATCTGCCCTGCTGGCCAGGCTGCCTTCCCTGTCCCCATGTGCAAAGCGGTGCGAGCTTCACCCGCATGTCCCAGGCTGGACTCAGAGCTCAGGTTAGGTTTCCTTACGGAGATGCCGTGTGCCTGGGGTACGGCACCTCTTCCAGGGGGCTCTGGGTGAGCACTACGTCTTTTCTTCAAAGGGCTCTGACTGTCCTTACTCCTGCTTCCCGTTCCCATCACTAAAATCGCTAAAAACATCAAGGATCAGATCTGCAGCCTCTGTAGGCAAGTGGTGTTTGGGGAAAGGTGAAGACAGAAATAGGTGCTCCTCGGACACAATCCGGCTAATTTCTTAAATCTGATGCAACTGGAGTATCAGGTAAGGAAATATAAACTTCCTCTGCTTTAGGAGGACGCACACACACAGTCACACACACTCACACTGCTCCAGGTAGCACAGTTCTGACTTTATGCCCACTCAGCAGCTCTCCAATAGATTTGAATTAAGGCTCTAGATTTATATTGTAATTAATTGCCATTATTAAAAAATGCCACTGGTTGTTACTATGAGTGCAAAACTTGCACTGTCTCATGGGCAGGGCCCCAGGGAGGTTAGAGCAGAGCCATTTCTGGGGAGTGGTGAGGCTCTGGGGTTGCCTCCTCTGGCCCTCTGAGCTTCACAGGTCCCAGCGTCTCCACCACCCTACCTTCAGAAAGCAAAAGGCACCCGACGCTAGCACCTACGAGCCATTGCAAGGAGAAGAGCCTGCGGACTTACGGAGGAAATATTCTGCTGTATCGGCTTCATAATCTGCATCCTCAGGGAAGTGATCAATTTGCTTACACAGACCTTTAAAATTCCCTAGGGAACAAGAGAAAAAAAGAACAAATGAGAACACCAAAACCTGCCTCGCAGGAACAGCTACCCTCTGCATCGCCCTTTGTGCCCGCCCTGCCTTCCTCCCAGGCAGCACGCCCGCTCGTGTATGGATGCCCATTAAATGCCCAGGTACTCTCCCCGCACACTCGCACACGTATCTCCCTCTTATTTGCACAGGAACATGGGATTCGCCGCCTGGATCCAGCCTGACGCCCACCTAGCCCAGTGCCCCTCGCTCAACGGTGGAGAGCACCAGAGGCTTTGGCTGGCGGGTATGACTCCTGCTGCAGACGGACAGGAGAGCACTGCCTGCCTCTGCGGGAGGTGGGATGGGTAGAGGAGCCAGAGACTGGGTCATGCTGCAAAGTGTGCTGTGTATGGCAGGATCATCAGGTTTGGGTGGAAAAGCGTTTGTTTCTCTCAGCTGTGAATTTGCTGCCTATTCATTTCATGGGCAGGATACATCCTGTTGTTTTGGTGTGTTTTGGTGCGGTACGAGAAGAACAGAAGCTCTTAATCTACTTTCTCCGTATGACTGCTTGTTTTTGTGTACCTTTATCAGGCCTCCTCTTCTGTTGTCTCACAGACTAAGGCTACGAGAAGCTTGGTGCAAGTGTGTGTATGCAGCTCAGCAGCAAAACACCCTTTGCACTGGGGGAGGAAAATCTTCTGCCATAAGTGAGGGAAGCTGGGCTGGTCACCCTCAGTTTCATCAGGCTGGTTTACGTACAGGGCCTTCTGCTGGCTTTAGTCTTGGGGCACCCTTTTTCACACACTCCACAACCAGCAAAGCCATCCCAGCAGGAGGCCAATGACATCTTCCCAGTCTTTTGTCATCTGGGATGTCTACCAAGCTCTTATTTTTGTCATTCATGTCTCTCTCTTGAAATCAGGAATTTCTACTCCAGAGGCGTAATCCTCAAACCACATCATCATCATGACTACTGGTTGACTAGCATCTCAAAGGATCAGGTTGTTCTTGCTGGTACAGGGGTGACCATGCGGAAGGCAATTTCATTATACCTCCTGGGGTTCCCCCAAACTTTTTCTCCCGCCTTCCCTTACATTTCCCTCTGGACACTTGCACTGGCTGGCCATTAACACAGAACTGATGGACATAATCTATCCAGAAAGGAGGAATGCAGTGTCCGCATGAGGTGCATGGATAGGCACGGTGATCCCATGGGCCCCCTCACCAGAGGTCAGCCACCAAAGTGGCTCAGGCTGACTGAGCCCTCAGCAGAAGAGTTTGGAGCCCGAGTCTGGAGAGTGACAAATGCTGTGGCAACCTGGGAAAGCCACCTGCCACTCTGGCCCCGAGCCCAGCCGCTGGTCCAGCTGGGTGTGCAGGATGAGGGGACAATGAAGCCACCACACTTGTGGTTGTTGCCTCTGGGAAGGGCTGCTTGTGAGGAACCCAGAGCTCTTCCAGGCCAACCCTACCCAGGCTGAGACCTGCAAGGACCATGTCAGGTCCCTGAGTCATGTCTTGGAAGGTTTATTCCAGATGAATTCCAATGATCTTTCAGGAATTAGGGAATAACTGGAAGAAGGACCAAGCTCAAAGGATTCCCCCTGGAGGAAGGAAGGGGGGAAGGCCAAGCCTTGCTGGAGCAAGGTTTGGGATGCTTTGGGACACTGTGCTGATCAAATAGCTGTAGAAGGCAGGTAGGTGGGTTTCTCTAGGTCAGCCCCCAAGCTCGGCTCCTTCTGAATCCAGTCGGCTTGTGTCTGATGCTTCTGAGATACCTACCGCCTTTAATTACTAGTTCAAAGAGCTTCCATGAAGAGGCTATAGACAGCAGAGAGTGTCTGCTGCGTGTGCATGTAAGAGGTAAGTAACAGGAGAAGAAAGTAGGAACAAAGCCTCTCCATGTACCTCTGAAGTGTTATTCCCACAGTGAAACTGTGGGTTATAAAAGGAGGTTATTAATCACCCATCCCCAATCCAGTTACCTCATTCAAGAAGTGTCTGCTTCTCAGCCATGGCTTTTCTGGAAGGAAAGCTTCATAGCCAAGCAAATTCCCTTGCCACACTCCCACCCTGCTACTTGCCCACTTAAATACCTGTGAGGAAGGCAGATACAGCATGAAGGGGGTCCTTTCCCTTGCTTGCCCCTGACTGCCTGGGGCCATCTGCCTGCGACAGATGAGCAGCTCATCACCCTGGTCCTTTGGCTGCAGTCACTGCTGTACAGTGCACGTGAACACTGCCACTCTCCGGGGCACCAGGGAAGTCTCCAGCCTCAGATTTCAGCTCCTTGCCCAGCAGATCCTGAACGCTGGGTGCCTCCTGCCCGTACACGCTGGGGGAGCAGGCAGAGCCTGCGTGCACCTCCCAGGCGAGGCTCCTGGTGCACAGCCAGCGCCCCCCAGTTGCAATCAGCCAGGGAGGGAAGAGGCACTGCATCTGGAAACCACCTCACTCTGTGCCATCCTTTCCCTGCTTCGTCTCTTTTCCCTCTCCCCAGCTCCATTTCTTGCTGTGTTTGAGCCTGATTAATTCCTATGTGAAGAATCAAGCTGCTTGGGAAAGATGCTGCACCTTGTGCAGGGTGTCTTTTATATGGACTTGTGTGGGATAGCTAGTTAGAGGTTCAGCTGCTTAGGCAGGGTGAGGGGACATGCAGGCTCTTTGAAAATCTGCTCCTGGTGCTGAGCGTCCAAAAGGCCTTGCTGATCTGGCTCAGCAGGGTGCTTGGCCACTGGGGTGTCCAGCCTTGGCTTGCTTAAAGTGCTGTGGCATTGAGGAGCTGCCCTTCACCCCAGGCTGATATGCTGCACCAGGCTGATCCCCCTCCCTGGCTCAAGCCTGCTGGGGTTCATGAGGGCAGGGTGGGCAGCGTTGGTCCCACTTTAGCCCCTGCTTTGTCTGTGCTCAGCACAGAGCGCCGTGACTCTGGATGCTGATGATTCGCCGGTGCTACCACACCCTCTCCTCCGATGTCTCCTAGCTCCTCTGGGCGATGGATGGGGAAAGGATGCAGAATTTAGGTCATTAATGCGCTAACTGGCAATATAAGAGAACAAGATTCAGTTTTTGCTCTGCCACAGGCATGCTGTTAAAACCACTTCTCTCTGCCTTAGAGTCCCACCCTGTGAAATGGGGGTGACAGCACCCCACTGCCTCATGCTGTACGTGGACGTGTTAAAGAGGGCATGGTATGGATGCGCTGGTGCCAGCGGCTGTGCAAGCGCATGGAGTAGGTGAGTGACGGATGGCGGCGGTTCAGAAACCTGCTCGGTGCAGGGAAGGCCTCGATGTCACTTCTTGCGCCAAGGTCACTCACTCGGCAATTCTCTGACGGACATCTGTGGCCTGCTGAGATGGTGCAGCAGCCTCCCTGGCACCTGTGCTGGTGGAAGCGCCGCGGCCACACGCGGGGAGGGGGATGGAGCAGCTCAGCAGCGCTGCCGAGGTCCGACACAACAGCCTTTTCCCGTGTTGCACACGCGGTCTGCAGAGCCAGGGAGGGAAGAGCCATGTGCCACCCTATAGTTAGGGTGCTGAATGCCCGAGCAAGAGCAAATCATTATTTGGGAGGGCGTGTAGGGCTCTGGGAGCCGCTCAAGGGAGTAAGAGCAATGTCTCTGTACTTGTGTCCCTTTGCCCTTCCCATTCTTCCCGTCTTGAGCTATTTCATGCTACGAACCCTGAAACAGGCAGGTGTTGAGCTCTCTGGCTTCTCCTGCACACCTCTGAGAAACTTAAGCCACACGCTTCCACCTCCTCCCTGCAGCTCTCCCAGTGCAGTTCGGGCTCTCCTCTCATCCTCTTTCTCGTGCTCACCCACCAGATCTTCCTCCTGTTTCTTAGTCTCTCTCATTCATCGCAGCCACCTCCCTCTCCCTGGCATATCGGTGTGGGCATCCTTCGAGCAGCCTGCTTTGGCACGTGCGGGCTGCGAAGGAGGCGGGGAGGAGCTCTGACTTGTGTCAGGACAGAAAGGCTGGGGACGCCCAGGTCTGTGGAAAATCACAGAGCAGCCCCCAAGTCCCTTGGGTATTACTGGGAGCCCTTAGACGAGATCCCCACCGTTTGCTTGTTGCCCGCCCAAGTTTTGGAAAATGCAGTCTGGAGCAACAGGCACCACCCCAGTGCCTGGACCAGGACAGAGGCTGCCCAGCTGGGGCATTAAGGGCAGACAACCTGCCATACTGCCAAGAGGGACTGAATGTCTAAGATGCATGGAAATAAATGTTAAGTGCAGGTTCAGCCCTCAGAGAGACCTCCTCCAATGCGGCCGGGTCATCGTTTGGGTACATGCTGTCTATCCAGGACAGCTGGCAGCCGTCAGCTCTGCTGCAGCAAGAGTCAGACTGAGTTACCCCCGATGAGAACCTGGCTCAGTGTTGGTGATACGGTTTATTTTTGTGCCGCTTTGTGCAGCCCTGTCTCTTTCAGAAGTCTCGCTTGCCTGCAGAGTGCAATCCATTGCAAAATAGTAGGTTCCAAAGAATGAAAAGCTACTCCCTTCCTGCGGGGTAGGAACACTTTTAAATGGTCAGGACTGTACATCTGAAAACTGGGAGCCAGAGGTAGAGGAAAAGACATCCAAAAGGAAAGAAGCAGACAAAGAGGGACGAGAACAGAAAGACCTGTTTTCCCAGAATGATTTGTGATATTTCCATTTATGGAAAAAAGCAATCCACTGAAAGCTTTCCTTCAGTCTCACTCTCTAATTTAGCAGAGGTTTTGGCATGATGGCTTCTAGAGAAATAAATAAAGGGGGCTGGATATAGCTGTTGTCTCTAAAAGCTCAGAAAGATGGCTTGGTGTTGGCCAAGGATTCAGTACCTCTTTCCGCCACACGCTGCCTGTATCACTTTAGGCAAGTCACTTAACCCCCCTCTTCTTTCACTCAAAATGGGAATAACAGTATTTCCCTGCCTCAGGAAAATAGCCTGAGGATATTTATATTAAAAATATGAAAGTGATCAGACACTGGATCTTTTGGGCCAGATAATTCTCCCCACCTTCC